CTGGGCCTGGACTACGAGGAGCGAGTCCTGCCTTCCATCGTTAACGAAGTCCTCAAGAGCGTGGTAGCCAAGTTTAATGCTTCACAGCTCATCACGCAGAGAGCCCAGGTAAACTCTTCTGGAGGAGGCCTGCACTTAGATTATGAAGAAGCAATTAAACTGTGGCTATGGGAAGTGGTACAACAGATAAAGGAAAAATACGAGGATGATTAAGGGACTGGAACATCTCTCCTGTGAAGAGAGACTGAGAGAACTGGGGCTGTTTAGCCCTGAAAGGAGATGGCTGAGAGGGGACCTTATTAACATAGCAAATATCTGAGGGGTGGGTGTCAAGAGGAAGGGGACAATCTCTTCTCAGTGGTGCCCAGTAATAGAACAAGGAATAATGGGTTTAAGTTAGAACATAGGAAGTTCCACCTCAACATGAGGAGAAATTTCTTTACTGTGAGGGTGACAGAGCCCTGGCACAGGCTGCCCAGAGAGGTTGTGGAGTCTCCTTCTCTGGAGACTTTCAAAACCCACACGGATACGTTCCTGTGTGGCTGCCCTAGGGGATCCTGCTCTGGCAGGGGGGTTGGACTAGATGGTCTCTAGAGGTTCCTTCCAACCCCGAACATTCTGTGATTCCATGTTAGGCTGGTAGATGGTGCATCCAGATGGAAAGGGCATCCTGTTTATAGTCTGATTTTAATACAAGCACTAAGGCTGTATCACTAATTGCTGAGAAATAGACTGGATTTGCTCATATATAAAGTCAAGACTACACCGTAATGTAATGATGCTGGGGGAGAGCTGACTTACGTCATAGTCCATAGGCAACAGTAGAATTGGCTTTAGAAAAAATTGTTGCCTGGTCGTTCATGGGTCTCAGAAGAACTGTCAGAGCAAATTAAACAGTCTTAAAGGATCCGAAAAGTGAGGTGGATGAGCAGTTAACACAGCAAGTAAACTTGTAGTAATGTGTGCTACAGAAGAATAGTGCGTGTTTAAAAGAGAATTAGAGGGTAGTCTTGGGAGGAGATTGTGAAATAATAGGAATATTAGCTTTGGGAAGCCTATATCTGAGAGTTTGTGTTCTGATAATTTGATTGCTGGGGATTCTGAGAATATTCATCACCTGTTGCAGCTGAGGGAGAGAGAAGTTGCTGATTATCTTTTAAAAAGCTTTAGAGGAGATCCTGCAGGAGACTGTTTCTGATCCATGAAAAGAAAAAAAGGGAAATAGTAGCGCTAAGTGTCAGGGGTTGCTGTGAGAACTGCTCCATAACAGGGGCGTCAGGGTTTTGTGCTAGGCCATGTGTGAGCGCCGAAGGGACCTGTTAATGGTCTCATGTGAAGAGAATGAGTGGAAAGTGAGGGTGTGACAGGGAAGAAACAATGCCCGCAAGGAATTTAGGTTTGATGGAAGCAAAGGAGATGGTTAAGCATCTCTGAAATTTCTGAACAAACTGAATTGGATTTGCCTTCATGTCATATAATCACATAGTGTTTGTTCCTGTGAGGTGATGTGTGTTGGAGCGGTTGATAATCGGAAGAAAATGCAGTGATTTTGTGTAGTTATGCACTCACAGTTCGCACAGTAAAGGTTTCTGGCATAATTTTAGAATTCTGCTCAGAAACAGCTGCAGTAAAAGTAAAACAAATGCTAGACTGGTCAGGCATGTGATACTCTAGCAGTAATTTCTGGTTTTTGGTGCACAACTTGTCAGCCTGCCAGAAAAAGACACTGGCAAGTTCAAGGTAGAATAAACTAAAATATCTACCAATAACACTCATCTAAAGAGACTGAAAAAAGTGGAGCAACCATGCTAGATGAGTGGCTACAGTAATTAAGAGACATGACTCGTGGTAAAAAAAAAAATGTGTTAGTTTTTTTTTTTTTTATTCCTGTGTCTGAATACAGATATGAGGAGGGAGTCAAACTGCAAACAGTTGTAAATTCCAGATGGAGAAGGAAATACTTGCTGCCAAATCATGTGTGGGAACTGTGGAACTAGATGTGGTAGGATGTGAAAGCAAAATAAAACCTTTCAAGAAGGATTTTTATTTTTAATTGTATAGTATGGTTAAATAATAACTGTAAATGAGCTGTCACATACTTTTGGTGCGTAGCTATGGATATGGAATGTTATTTAGAGGCAACAGATTGAGAGATGGTGTTGATGTCCACGTTCAGGGTTTGGTTTAGGTAATGTCTCTCTCTGGCCCAAAGTGAATGAATGTGAGGAGCAGTTGTGGGTCGCTTTTGGAGTGTGTGGGAAGAGAGGAACAGCCTGTGCTGGATACTCTTCGCTCTGTTTGTGTTTCAGGTGTCCCTACTCATTAGGCGAGAACTGACGGAGCGAGCCAAGGATTTCAGCCTCATCCTGGATGATGTGGCTATCACAGAGCTTAGTTTCAGTCGTGAATACACAGCAGCTGTGGAGGCTAAGCAAGTGGGTGAGTTCAATTTATGCCTGAAAGGAGTGGGTTGCTGTTGCCTTTTTACTGAATTATTAAGCAGGGAAGCAGAGTTCGGGCTAGCATGTCACTGCTTTCGCATTAATACAGCTACAGAGTTATAAAATGGACCTAAACAGATTGTTTTTCAAGTATTACGAGAAAACTTGGGGTCATAGCTAGTGGGATAGACTATTGGAGGGACCGAGTTCCCAAGACTAGAGAAGCTCTTCAGACTGGGACTCAGTACTATGTGGGTCACATGCAGGTGGTCTGGATGCTGTTGATTTTACGTAAGAAAAAGTAAAGTACGCTCAGGTACATTTTGTGTTTGTGGATGTGGCCACAGAATACTCTCGGTTCTTTCGGAAGCAGAGCCCCCAGGCCCCAGCTCCGGGGTTCTAGCGGAGGGCTCGCAAGGTGAGATCCTCTTCCAATGCTTTTGGCCGTCCTCTCTGCAGCCCAGCAGGAGGCACAGCGTGCGCAGTTCCTGGTGGAGAAGGCCAAGCAGGAGCAGAAGCAGAAGATTGTTCAGGCTGAAGGGGAAGCCACAGCTGCCAAGATGATATCCTGCTTTGGGAGATTCTTTGGGAAGTGGTTTGTGAGCTTGATGGTCCCAGAGGCTCATGCTTAGCAGACATTGCCAGATGAGAGCCTCAAGTAGGTCACTCTTACTTATTCCCTCCCCTGCTGCTGCAGTTGGCCGGAGTGATGTTTGTCTGAGCTTACAGGTCAGAGCAGAGAAGGCCGTGAGCCTTTGCTCCCCGTTGTAAGGTTTCACTTCTGTTGGCTGTGTGCAACCATGATCCATAATGTTGTTCTTGATTTGGGGAGGTAAAAATACACCTGCCAGAGGCCCAGGTTATTGGGATAGAGATTGCTCGCTCCCCATAACATGTTTGATGGCTTAGAAGGAATTGTAAGTTCTTCTGCTGGCAGGTTTTTCCTTAACTTTTGTTCCCCTGTACTCAGGAATCCAGGCTACATCAAGCTACGTAAGATCCGAGCTGCTCAGAACATCTCCAAAACGGTGAGCATCGGGGCTTGGCATTTCCTTCATCCTTTTATAGTCCTTGTGCTGTCCTCCCACCCCAGCGGCCACATGATGAATTTAAGGCGAATGTGACCTGCCCTGTCCTGATCTTTGTTCCTGCCCAGCCCTTCTCTGCTCAGGTAGAGCTTAGGGTTTAGCTTGCAGTGATCAGCAGTTAGATGGGAGGTCAGGAGTTTGTGCCCTCCGTATGACAAGGCCAGATCCACATCAGATTCCGTCACCCATGCTCAGCTGCAGCCACCAAAAGCTCCTGGTTTCCTGCAGGCTGAGAAAGGGGGACAGATAAGCGTAGGATCAAAGGTCTTTGTGACAGAGAGACAGAGTGAGCACTTCTTCTAAAAAGTCTGATGGCACTGGGATGGGAAGTCAGGAAATTACAGAGTCATTCTGGGGAGTCACATTGATTTAACCAAGATCCTAAGTGAACGAAACAAGAGTGTTTGTATCTAGGGGAGGAGATGGGTTCTTTGTTAGTGCTGTTCCTCCAGTCGGGTTTATGCTCCCCTGTGCCATCTCTGTAATGGATTTCTTTTTTCAGATTGCTGCCTCGCAAAACCGTGTGTATCTCACAGCAGATAACTTGGTACTGAACCTGCAGGATGAGGGCTTCACCAGGTAAAGGGGCCAGGTGGCTGGATTTATCTGCACCCTACCTGTGAAGCTGGTCCCCTTTCTGAAGCTCTCTCAGGATCTTTTCTCTGAGAGGAGCCTGATGCAGGAGGACACAGCCAAGCAGGGAGCAGTCTTACTTACTGTGGAAAGTGAGACTTATTTTTCTGTTAAATCTAATCAATTTACTTTTTATTTTCTTCCCTTTTTTTTTTTTTTTCCCCCTCCTGCTACTCCATCTCCTAACACACAGAGGAAGGTAAGGCACTGCTTATTTTGATCTTTTTATTAGTACTTGGAACAAGGATGGTGATGTTTTCCTGGTGCCTGGGATGTTTCTGGCTTTGGGCCTTTCTGGCCCCGGGAAGTTTATTCCATCTTTATGTCAGTTCCCATTTGTTGTGTGAAGCTCGAAGCCTTCCTTGCAGGGACCACACAAACATTGGTACCAAGTGGGAAATGCTCAGTAATTGGAGCTCTGTGTGTGTCCCACAAGGAACCTTGAGTGGGGGAGTAGCTGAGGAGCGTCCTCTGATCTGTCCTGCATGTGCAGGGTGTCCTGCATTCATGGCGAAGAGGGCTGTAAGAAGGCAGTTAGATGATTGTGTGAATTTGCATTGGTTTGGGGTAACAATTCTAGGAAAGATGCTTTTATTACTCTCCAAAAGCTTTCCAGTCCATGCTAGAAATTCCCCCTGCCCTGCTTTCAGTGCTGGCAGGAGTATCTGTGGTATTTACTGGACACAGCAGTGCTAGCTGAGCTAGTAATAGCTTTTAGCTGTTAGATTTCTTAGAGTCAAGAAAGGAAGTCAGAGCTTCTTTGTTTTCTGTGGGACCTCTGATTCTTCATCCTCACCTCTGACCAGATTGTGGCTTACTCATCCAGAAGGCTAAAGGGGCTTTGAAAAAAAGTACCTGGTAGGAAGGACTTGGAAGCCCAGTTCTTTTGGGTGTGACACCCCACGCTCCCAGGTCTGTAGTGAGGGTCTGGTTTGGCTTCGCTTGTGCTTTGTGGACTAATGACTCACCTCTGTCTCCCTTTCAGTGACAGTCTTCTACTCAAACAAGGGAAGAAATGAAAGAAACTAGAGCTTCCTCGAGCCGGCAGCACTGACCAGCAGAAGATAGGAGTGAGGAGTTTCAGACTCCCTCCTCTAGCGTTGTTCACCCTCACTTTGAAGTTGCTAATGCAGTCGCCAGTTTTGATTCCCATGCCCCTGCTCCGTCACTGGTGATCCAGTTAGGGGATTGGGCTCTGCCTCTAGGCAGCTGTAGATCCTTCCTCACCCCACCAGTTAAATCTGGGGAGGGCACAAAGGGGCTTACTGGTATTAACCCATGTGGATATAGTAATTCATTAATCTTTAGATTTCTTTAGGGTAAAATCAGAATTCTTTTTTTGGCCAAGTGAGGGAATTCTGCTGCCATCAGCACCAGGCTTTTTTTTCTAGTAAATTTTGTTTCTCTTTCACTATTGATCCCAAGAGAACCTGGGACTGAATCCAGGAAAATGTCATTCATTGGGTGCCTGTCACTGCTGGAGTATCTATTTGTGTCACTGTCTGCTCAGTGATTCTTTCAAACATTTGTAAAAATTAAAAAGCCCAAATTTATGCTGTGTCTAAGTGTGCTTAGTGCCTGAAAGAAGAGGTTCTTCTGTGCCGATGGAGGTGGAACAGAGCTTTTATATGATTGGAGACAGAATCGGGATGTTTTAGGGATAGGAGCAAGAGAAATACCATTTTCTTTGCTGCAACATCACAGGGTAGCAAGAGAATGAGCAGATGTGGATGCCGATAGCAGTGTGGGTGAGCAGGGCCTGTTTGTTACCTGCCTGTAGGTGCTGGAGATCAACACAAGTTTACCTGTTTTTCTCTGTTACAGCAGCATGTTTGTAGTGTGTCCTCACATCTGTTGTTACACCTTTGTTTCCCTCCCCTGCTTTCCTGGTCAAACATTCCTCCAGTGATTAAACTCTCTTCCATGCTTGGTTTTCGAAGGCAAAATCTTGTCTGCTTCAGGGCTTTTTCCCTGCCCCACTGGACCATCCTATGCTAGATACAGGAGTTGGAGATTTGACAGAGTCAAGAAATTGTAGAATCTCCTTAAATAGAAGGGACCCACAAGGTTCATCTGAGTCCCAGCTCCCCACTGCACACAGGGCAACCTAAAAATTAAACCATGGGTCAGAGCATTGTCTAAACATGTCTTGAGCAGAGACAGACTTAAGGCCATGACCACTTCCCTGGGGAGCTTTGACCACCCTGTCAGTGAAGTTTTTTCCTGATGCCCAATCCGAACTTGCCCTGATGCAGCTCAGCCCTTCTGTTCTGTTGCTGGAAACTGAAGAGGTCAGCATCTCCCTCTCGCCTTCCCCTCGTGAGGAAGTTGCACAGGTCAGCCTTGAGTCTCCAAGCTGAATAAACCTGGTATCCTCAGCTTGTAAGTCAGGCTGCCTTTCACTGTGTGTTGCAGTCCTTTGGCCACGTTGTACTATTTTTATACCCCCTTGTGGAGCCCAGAACTGCACGCAGTACAGGAGGCAAGGCTGGACCAGTGCTTAGTGTAGTGAGACCATCACTGCTATTGACTGGTTAACTATAGCATGCTGTGCTTAATGCATCCCAGGAGAGTGCTGGTGGTTAACTCACAGAGCTTGCCGTTAACCAAAACACTCAGATCCCACTCTGCGCTCCAGCCCCTTGTTCACCTGGTCTATACGTGCATCCAGGATTGCACCATTCCGGGTGCAGAACCTGACCTTTGTTCATGTTAAATTTCATGTGGCTGGTGATTGCCCAGCGTCCTAATCTATTGAGATCTCTCTGTAAGGCCTCTGTCTCCTCAAGGGAACCAACAGGTCTTTGTAATTTGGTATTGTCAGCAAGCACTCTACTCCTGTGTCTAGAGCGTTGATAAATGCTTCCAAGAGAACTGTCCCTAAAATTGAGCCCAGAGAAGCGCCACTAGCGACTGGCTACCAGCTACATGTTACCCCATTTACTGTGGCTCTTTGAGCCTGACCCCTCAGCTAGTTGTTTACCCGTTGTGTTGTGTACATGTCTGGCTGTGTGTTGAATGCTGTCCAGAAGGAGACCCTGAGAGATAATATCAAAAGCTTTCCTAAAAATAGTTAAAAAAACCCCCACATCTGCTGCTTTCCCTTTGTCTGCTAGGTGGGTAACGGTATTATGAAAGATTATTAAGTTAGTAAGGCATGACTTTCCCTTCATGAACCCATACTGGCTTTGATGACTGCAGTCTCTTTCAAGTCTTTTTCAACAACTCCCAGAATAATCTCCATAACTTTACTAGGTACCAAAGTGAAAGAGACAGTTCTGTAACAACCAGGGTCTTCTTTCTTACCCCTCTTGAAAATTGGGATATTTGCTGTCTTCCGGTCAACTGGGACCTCTCCAGATTCCCAAGACTTACAAAATAGCTGAGAGGTCTCTCGATGACTTTGAGTAGCTCTTCAGTAACCTGGGATGTATCCCATCGGGCCCCCCTGACTTATGTGCATTCAGTTGCAGTGGCAAATCCCCTGTGAAGTCGAAGTCAAGTGGGAGTTTATCACTCCCTGAGCTGTGGTCCTCCAACTCGGTGCTCTGGACATCCCAGGGCCCATGACCATCAGTGTGAAAGAGAGAGAGGTGAAGAAAATGTTAAATGTATCTTCACCCTGTTTGGGGATAAGGTGACCAACCTCATCGAGTCACAGATCAATGTTTTCTTTGGTCTTCCTTTTGCTGCTAACAAACTTTAAAAACACTTTTTTTTGTTATGTACTCCAGTACCAGCCAGCTTCATCTCTAGCTGAGCTTGGACCATAAAAATTTTCTCTCTGTAGTGGCAAATTGCATGTCTATAGTCCTCCTATGTAGCCTGTCCTTGCTTCCAAAGTCCACACACTTTCCATCTAAGTTGCAGGAGATTTCTGTTCAGCCAAGCTGGCTTTCTGCCTCTCTTGACTTCTGGCATGTTGGAATTGCCTGCTCCTTCTGTGCTCTTCAAAGAAGGCCCTTAAACAGTGACCAGCACTTATGCACACCAGTATCCTCCAAAGCAGATTCCTAGGGGACCTTACTAGTTCATTGATCAGCCTAAAGTCTGTTTTCCTAAAATCCAGGGTAGTAACTCTGCTGACAATTTTTCTCATGTCACCACAGAATTTAAACTCAACTATTTCATGATCACAATGGCCAAGACAGCCACCCACAAGACCATCTCTATTTACAAACAACCGTTTCTATTTGCAAACAACTCCTATTTAAGCTCTCCAGTGAAGAAGAGAGGCCTTTAGGATCCTCTTACTCGTGTGAAGCAGAGCACAAGATGTTTAAAGGAAGAGATACAATCTATGGATTCCTGGGTTTACAACTCACTGTTACTGGAAACGAGAGTCGTAACTGATACCTGTATGTATAAACTTGCAACATCAAGGAAGCAGCTTGGAAAAGCATTCTCAGCCAGCCACCCACTTTATGTAACAGTGCCAAAGCATAAAGCAGAGCAGCACACTTATTTCAGTGCTGCAGTTCTTGGTGTACAATCATGAAAGTTATTTTTCAGTCTGTATTCGTTGCAGACAGTGTATCTGCCCTGTAACAACCAGGGTTCAACTTGGTGAGTGTTAAGTCTTTTATCAACAGTCTTGGGAATCTGGAGAGGTCCCAGTTGACTGGAAGACAGCAAATATTGTCCCAATTTTCAAGAAGGGCAAGAAAGAAGACCTTGGTTGTTACAGTATCCACTTATTGTGGACATATTAAATACAAATGAGGTTCTTGGGGTAACCAGGGCTTGTTCCAAAAGATATTTTGAGTAGAGTTTTTGCAGAGTTTAAGATAGCCATTGATATGCCTTGCTTTAGGCTCTGACAGCTTTCTGAGAAATTAAAACGATCCTGTCTGTTGAAGCTAGCCAGGTGTCTAAGGCAAAGATAGGTGTTTCCACAGGGTAAGTCTTAGCCCCATGGCTTAAAAGAGGGTATGTGGCAATCGTTCAGAGGTGAAACACACACCTGTACCCAGCTTTACTTCTCTGACCATTGTTTTCCCCACGGTCCCTCCCTCTAGTTTTCCTCTAGTGGCAGCAGCAGTACAAAGCCAGGCAGTAAATGCAGCTCACTGTTGGCTCAGAGGCTAAGGGAGGCTAAAATCTGTCACACGGAAAGAGGATCTGCTCACAAAGTACCTTCTGTCTCCCGACGCTTCCAACCAGTTTTCTTTCTGTATCGCGTGACAGCCAGTGGTGCCCTTCCAGCTGCGGAACTCCAAAAAATGATGAATTACTGATGTGAAGCTTGAAGCTGCTTTTTTGAACGGGACGAGTTCCTTCATCTCAGCAGGGTGTCAAATAGTGTTGGGAAGGGACCTCTGGAGGTCTTCAGGCCAGGCTGGTGCTGCAAGTGGCACCACAACCGGCACTGTGCCACACCACCTGTGGCTTTGTCCATTCTAGCACTGAACACCTGCAAGGCCAGAGTTCTCCCCTCTGAGCAGCTGTTTGAATGCCTTAGTGTTCAAGCTGCAGTTTGGGACCGGTGCCTCTCGTTTATTATCTGCCACTACCACCCCTCTGTGTAGCTAGAGATGAGAGTAGCTTACCTCTCAACCTCTTCACCAGACTAAACAAGCCATATCCCTTAGCTACTCCGTGCAGGTGACTGACCAGTATCTGTGAAGCCACAGTGTGGCCACACTCTGGTCTACCTTCTCCATAAAGACAAAGTTTCACTTCTAGCAAATGATACCTAGAAAGGAGCGGCCTATGACACCCTCTGGCTCAGATTGGTTACCACCAAAGACAGATAAGACAGATGAAGGAACTACTAACGATTTTGTGGCACGAGCATGATTGTTTTTCTGAATACCAAGATTTAAGAGCACCATACACTCTGTGTCTGAGTTTGTCACAGCTATCTTTCTGTGCTCAGACTTGCCTGATGACTGTTAAAACTCAAGCCTTACAGTAAGGAGCCACTGTAATTAGTCACAGCTTCTGTTCAGGAGTCTGAAGGCTGCAGGAAGTGATGCAAAACAAACTAGAGCCATTCTTGTAAGTCTGCAGGGCTGCAAGTGAAGCCAGGAGTATAGCTATACTCAAAGAGAAATTATAAAAAAACCCAACACTCTTGGGACTGAGCAGTCAAACAAATACAAGTTTATTTACAAACAAAGGAGGAAACATGGCCATCACATCGAAGTCTGGTATATTTACAGGAGCCAATTGAAGGATCAAGTAGAAAAGGGGCTGTAGGGCAGAGGGTTGCTATTAAGGAACGAGGAAGTTTCCTGTTGAATTGCAGAGGAGGTGAGATGAAATGGGCCAGAACCTTCATACTTTTAAAGCTGAGGCCTCAGGGAACACTGACAGGCTAAACTCTAACTCACAGCTGTGAGCAGAGATGTCGCTCCTGTAAGGAGCTTCCTCAGCTCTTCCTCAAGAAGTCCACTGAAGCTTGTCAACAGGGGAATGTTTGGGCCCCAATGCTCAGGGGGCAAAGGAAAGAAGGGGCATGACCTTTTCCCCTGTTAATGAATAACGAAGGGGCAGCAGGAGACTTTGCTGGCCTGAGCAGGCAAGGGACAATGAAGTTGGTCAGCTGAGCTGGGAAGCGGTCTGATTCCGAGCGCTGAAAGGTGCTGCGGAGCACAAGGGGAAGGCCAAGTTCCAGTTCAAGAGTGAGGAATGCGAGACAGGCCATCCTGGACATGAGGTGCAGTCCTGTGCCCCACATTCAAAACCCCCACATACGCTTATTTTTTCTTTAGTGAGCCTTTCAGCTTCTTCTCTGAGAAGCGCTGTTTCCGCACCTTCTCCTCCTTTTTCCCCAAGTTCTCATAAACTGTCGACTCCTCTTTCTGCCTGTAAGACCAGTGAAAAACAAGGGAAAAAATGAGCGAGCAGAGAACACCAGCCAGGCGAGCAGAAAGACTCTTGCCTGATGGAGGTCTAGCTGGGCCTCTGGTTCAGATGAGCTCTTACTGGGAGGATTTTCGTGAAGCCTTGGCATGTATGTTCCTCGCTGCAGGAGGGTAGGTAATGTTCCCATACTCAGACTCGTTAGGCTTGCCTTTCTGGGCCTGCAGGAGAGAAAAACCAAACTGAGAGGAGTATGGTCTGGGAGAAGCATGTGAGGCATCATGGAAGAGTTCCGATTGTCTAACCATGCTTCACGCTAGGATCTCAGTGAAGGCTGGTGGATTTCTGAAGTCCTTGGGCTCGGTGCGCTCTGCCCACTGCTGTCACGGAGGCGAGCAGTGGGGATGCAAATACATCCTCACACAGGGGTCAACAGGAGGGCAATACATTTCTGGAGGCATTGGAACGCCTTTAGCATCAGCTAAAGAATATTAAACAGCAGCAGTGACTGGACGCTGTCAGGGGCTACAAGGAGAGATGAAAGATGACACTTCTCAGCTAGCAGAAAATTCTGCAACTGCAGAACCAGGATAAGAAAGACAAAGGAAAGGGCAAAGTCTTTTCCTGTCTTAGATTCAGCTTGTAACAAAACAGCACTTGGTGGAGATGTTATGTAGAATGTAGCTGAAATAACCGCATCAAAACTTATCACCGTTTATCAGTTCAGAAGGGGTCAGTACTTGAACTGCTAACATTGTCCCCTGAATTTTAAAGAGAGGAACAGAGACTCAAATCTTGGTGCATCATTACAGTCTCTGTAGGGCCCAGTGCCAGCTTAAAGTCTGGGACACAGCTCAGAGCCAGCACCATGCAGGGCCCAGACTCACAGGATAGGAAAGTAGAGTCCCCTTCCTCACCTGGATAACTTCCAGCTTTTTCTTGGTTGTCTCTATGAACTGGCAGATGGCCATGTAGATGAACTTGTACTGGGCCTCTGTCTGTACCATCCCCGAGCGTTGGGCCCTCACCATCTGGATGGTCTTCTGGATGTCAATGTCACAGTCCAGCCCTAGGCAAGGGACACCAGAAAAGCTTATGGGCACGTTCATTGACCCCCTCTCCCAATTCTCCACCAAAAGCAGTCACAGTGGAGGTCAGTCAAGAAGTTTTCACCTCCCTCCATACTCTTTACTCCTTTATGGACCTCGTATCTCTCTGTCCTTGCTCAGCATCCTTCAAGTCTGGCCCTGAAGGAAGAGCCCAAGCTCAGGGAAGGCTCAAACCACAGTAAGTGGATATGGTGCAGAAATCCAGCAGCTGCCACACGGCAAGGACAGCACAACCTTCTCAAGGTTGTGGCAGGATCTCTCCCACTAACTACCTTACAGTTTTCAACTCTTTGCAGCCAGACGTAAAGGCACAGCCCTACTGGGTAAGCCAGTTTACTTCAAAATACTTTGGGATCCTCTTACCCTTGGTGGAGATTGTTTCCACTATCATATCAATGACGATGATAGTCCCAGTGCGGCCAATCCCAGCACTGCAAGGAGAGGACAAGCACAGGTCAGAGCAATACTGCTCCTGAAACAAAATGCAGCTGCTGCTGGGGAAGGATATGGCACTCGTAGCGGCTGTACTGCGATGCCACAAAAGAGTCATGGAGTCAACAGGCAGAGAGATTGGTTTGAGTGCATCGAAGGGGAAAAAGCAAATACGGGGGCTGGCATATGCTTCACTCACAAGACCCTGGGAACAGCTGTTGCAGCAGAACAGACTTTCTATACCTCACCCTGGGTAAAGGATGGAGAATGCTTCAAACCACAGCCTCTGTACCAACCTGCAGTGCACCAGAACAGGCCCTGCGCCTGGGATGCTTTCTTGCTTCTGGTTTATTTGGTCAAGGAAGCTGAGCACTCCTCCTGGCTCACTGGGTACGCCGTGGTCAGGCCAGCTCAAGTATTGGTAGTGCCAGATCTCACGCACAGCTTTATCCTGATAATAACAAAACACCCTACTCATAAAATTGTACCCCAGTCCTGTCCCTGGCCTCTGTGCCAGGGTCAGGTAGGACTGAAGCCAGAGGGAATCTTTGTCTCCTGCGCACTTCTTGGTGATTCCACCAGTATGATTCCAGCCTGAACCAAGTGGGAACAGCAGCCCCAAGAATGAGACAAGAGCAGCGTCACCACATCACCCAGCAGTTCCCAGCCTCGGGCGTACAGCAGCTGTTAGACCCAGGGGCCTGATGAGAGCCCTCAGCCAGGCACACTCACGTTGTTCACTGGACACACACAGAGGCGCCGGAGCTTGTACTCCAATGCATCATGCTCCCCAGCGTTCTCAACAAGGTAAGGACCATATTCCTTCATGCTGCCCACCTCCGGCCAGTAAGGCACGCATTTGTTCTGTGTGGACAGAGAGGGCAGGGTAAGGATAGGTAGAAGGCAGGAAAGAGAGAAAAAGCAGGGCAGTGTTGAAGAGATAAAGAGGGCAGCCCTAAGACACCGACAAATCGCTACTTACCCGCCCTTTCTCTACCTCCCGTGTAGTCATCACGATAATGCGCGTGTTCTCCTGCCACACCATTTGCCAGAAGTCATTGACTGTGGCATCCAGGCAACCCTGGCTAGCGATGTAGGTCTTGGTGCACTCATCCGGGCTGATCAGGTTGTTCTGAGTGCGGACAGGGGAAGATCAGGAGGGCTGCAGGAGCAGGCAGGCCTTCCCCCATTTTTGGCATACAGCCACCTTTCAAGAGTCTCACCTTGACGTAGTTAGCATTGATATAGTCAGATCCAGGTATATTTGAGTCCCTTCCTTGGAGGATGACTCTGGAGTGATCAACTGGGGATGCAGTGAAAGAATAGACAGAGCAGTGAGATACCCGGTGCCCAGCCACACGAAGCTGATTCACTGCCCCGTGCCACATCAATCATGCTACCTGCTGCAAGTAGCATGTTCCATATTTTCATCTCTCCTCCTCTGGGGTCAGACCAATCTCACCCCATCCTCCCTTCTCCCTACCACCCTGATGGACCATCCAAAGGTGATGAGTCTGATGTAACCCTCTCTCCTTCCTTCAAGGACATGAAAAGGCTGCGACCTCTCTCATCAGTGTTTAAATCCGCAATGGCACACACCTTGTAACCTGCTCTGGAGGACAAAGCAGGCTGAGGCAGAGCCAGGGATGACTTTACTGCCTATCTGTATCTACTTGGTTTGTTTGTGGTTTGTTTTTTGGTTGGTTTTTTTGTTTGTTTTTACAGTGCACATGCAAGACTCACAGGGCAAGATGTTCTTGTATCGGTTCTTGCTCTTGTTTTCAGGTCTCTGACCCTCGTGACGGTCAAACAGCTGCTTGCTTTCCTGTTTCTGCAGACTCTGCGAGCAGGAAAAAGAACAGTCATGACGAAGTCACAACGTATGACAGGGAAGGTGGGCATTCAGAGCAACAGTGGTGACTCTGGGGACACATGGGCTTGCTTGTGGAGGAGCAGAGAAGTGAAAAGCAAACCCAGAGTTGAAAAGTCCAAGGCTCATGCCCTGTCTTGGTGCCTCATTCTCCCAGCTATGAAAAAGCACACTTCTGCATCAGTGGGTCCAATTAAAGATGACACCCACTCCCCAGAGGAACAAGCCCTGTTTGAACCCCTCTGTTTGGAACAGAGACTTCTTTCAGAGACAAACTGACAAGAATTTACAAGACACTTGAGAAGTTTTTGTCTAGGAAGAAATCAAGGATGGAGAATGAGGTGGTGCACAGGGACTTCCCAAAAAAGCCAGAATAATGTCCTCCGGCAGTTTCTTACATCAAATTCCTCCCAGAATCCAGCCTTGGATGTCTCCTCAGATAGGCTTTTCTTGTTCAGTTCCTGCACTCTATTCTCAATGTCAGCAGCATTCACCCGTGTAGCGTAGTAGGGCTGGGGATGGGAAAACACAATGTGTTGGCATGAGAGACACACTCCTGGAGAGCAAAGTCTCCTCTGTGTGCTGTGGAGAAAGGAGAGGAACACAATGCAGAGACAAAAGCAAGTGGGTTCCTCCAAAGGATTCCTAACAGAGCAAATAGGATTTACCTGCTTCAGGTACAAAAAGGAGCCAGACACCTCTTCAATTCCAGTCTTCTTGAAGTGCTCCACCAGATCTGCCAAGCTGTCAAACGTTTCAGCACCTCCAACTGTGTAGCGCCCATTCTAAGCAGAGGAAGAATGTGTCACAGCTGCTCATAACATTCCCACAGACAAAGCTGGTAACGGTCAGGGATAAGGTAACACTGGGGTGCAAAGCCCAACAGAGGGCACCGCCCTGCGCCATCTAGAAAAGCATTTCCTCTGGCAAGGAGGTCAAATGGTACTTTGCCCTGAGAACAGCAGGCTCAGAGGATGGTGAATTGACTCAGGTTCTCAGTGGATGGAAGCCCAGAGAACCTACTCAAGACTCATTTGAAGTCAGTTCCTTCCTGCCCTTTAAATCTCCCTCCACTTTCTGCATCATCCCACATGAAAAAGACAGAAGTGACAGCCAGGTTGGTGACAATCTCCAGACTAAGTGTGGAAACCTTGCAGATGCCCATCCTCCTCCTCCAAGAGCTTTTAACTCTTCTGATGAAATCGTAATTAGAATCCTGCCAGTGATCTAGCCTTGGGTGAGGACATAAGGAACCTGCAAGGTGACAGCACTTTGATCCAAATTCAGAAACACTGCTGCTAGTAATCAAGCTGACAGGGCCCATGCTTTTGAGGACATGATCGCATAGACCTCTCCTACTCCTTTTCCTTTTGGCCACCTAACTGCTCACCTCACACATGATCTTGATATGCATGACTTTGAGCTGGGCTCCAGAGGCACTGGTTGCCCCAGCTGGTGGGGCATCAGAACCAGGTTTAAGCTGGTCAGTGAGGACGGACAAGACAAAATCCCCAGGTTTGCTGAGGCTCTCCCGCACCAAGAAGGTCCAAGGTGTGGCTTTGGCCTGGAGAAGTGACTCAGCTGCAGAGCCTGAGAGATGCCCATGGTACCACCTAGGGAAAAACAAGAGAGGGACAGAGGAGAGGTGGAGATGCAGGTAAGTGCCTTGAGCTGACGAGTGAAGGACAGCAGCAGTGGGGAAAGGGTGAGGGAGGGAGGAAGAAAGGAAGGTGGAGACAGAGGAGGGAGAGAGACAAAAAGGAACCCAAGGGAGGAGCAGGATCTTGGGAAAAGCAGATGACACACGAAGAAGTAGAGAGCTGGCAAGAAAAGCAAAGGGCAAGGGATGAGGTGGAGAGCAGAATGCTAATACTAGAGGACACAGTGGGAAAGCTCCAGGTGTGATCTAGTTGTGTGATACACAAAAGCACAGGTAAGCAATATGTGCTGGCTTGAGGACCAGTTGGGAAAGGGTAGTCCTTGGGTTTCAGCACCTTCCAGAATTAATGGAATTCTAGTCTTACTGCTGCTAGGTGCTTCAGAAACTCAAATACCAGGGGGAACAAAAATAAGCCTCCAATGAGCCAGAAACTCTCCCATCAGATTTAGCAGCACCGAGCTATCTGTGTTGAGATAGATCCATTAAAGAACCATCCCAGCGACCCCTTTCTGAAACTCAGTCACATCTTCAGTCAAAGGATAATTTCCATTCTCTAAGGTATATCATATAGCAGCAATCAGCCTAGCCATGGGACTAGAACACCAGGAGCCAGCTGGAGCCTATATTCTGCTCCTGGTGCTTATCACTGCTGTTGATCCGTGTGCACGTTCCTGCCCTCAGTGCAAACATCCAGCCAGAAGCTCCTTCTCTCCTCTCAGCACAAGCTGAGGAGCATCCCCATTTGACCAAGGTGCTCTCTGCCTCGCTGCAGGACTGGACCCAGGGCACAAAGGGACACAAGCATGGTGCAAAGGGACACAAGCATGCTGCAAGCCCCTTCCTACCTACAAAGGTCTCAGGGAGGGGTGTGCCTGCCCGATGGGATCTCATTGCACTCTGTGGTGTAGGTTCAAGCGATGGTCAACCACAAGCAGGCTGGGAGATGGGACAGCCCTGGCCTCTCCTCCTTCTGCAGGGCTCTTGAACCTGCAGAAGCTCCAGATGTGGCCCAGGTTGTCTCTGTGCAGATCCTCATGCCTGTCCCAAACTCCACAGTCTCTTTGGACTACACCGTAAGGTCCTGAGGGGCACTGCTGAGCTGCCAGGTAAGGATGTGGAAAGCCATGTTTACTGCAACTCTGTCCTGCTTCCACAGAACTCGCTTGGAAGCTGGAGCTAGAGATCCAAACTGTAGAAAGCTGAGAGCTGTGAGGTGCTCTGGGAAATGCTCCAAACCATCCCACTCCTTCAGAAACCCGTTTCCCAGTGGAGCCTCTACTGGTTCCAAACCCATCTCAGCCCAGGCGCCACCCCAGCCCTGGTGCTCCTGCCCCGGCCCCTTCGCTCCTTCTAAGCTGGGTGTCAGGGAGGGAATCTGGGCCCTTCTCCTCCAACAGGGGTGGGCCTAATTCAAACAGGCCACTCTGGTCCTGGGATGTCTCCATCTCCAGCTGGAGCCAGGTGCTTGGCTCTGCCTTCAGGGGCCTTTGCCACACGGCTGCTGCATCAGCCAAAGGCTTGTTCACTGTGGCTCTGTCCTGCTTCCACAGAGCTGCCTCAGCAGCTGGACGCACAGCCACTTGGCCATCTCCCCTGGTGAAGAGCATTTCAAAAGCAGGTAGCTCTTGCACCAGATTGACTTGCAACACCACTCCCTGCTCCCGCTCCTTTCAGGTACCGCATCCAGCAACAGCCACGCTCTATATGTCACCATGTGTGCTACTGTCAAGGCCAGGCTGACGCTCAGTGGACGAGCCAGTGTGGTCAGAGCTGTGGGATACCCCCTGGGGAATGGCTGACCCTTCCTGCTTGCCAAAGAGGTCTCCTGGCCTTCACAGGTAGGAAGGGGTTAATGGTCCCCCTTCCCCTCCTCCCTTCCCCCTGTAGAGCCCAGCTCTTCAAAGCCACGTGATGGAAAATCACTTGGGGAGAGAGTGAGAGGAGCTTTCGTAAGAGCCTGGTGAGGGGAGAAGTTTCCAACCGCAGGGAGGAAGGGAGGAAACTGCAGGGCCACAACCCAACGGCCTTGAGTGGAGAGGACAGCCATCAGGCAGACCCCAGCCCCCCTGCAGCCTGACCCCAGAGCAAGCAGGGGGGTACCCAGAAGCTGCAACCAGGGCATCTTTGCTCCCTGTCTCCAGGTGTGCAAGGAGGACCTGTCCATTGTGCGACACCTCCCTGAGCTGCATCAAAGAGCTTCAAAGCACAATGCAAGGGTAAAACCACCTGATTTGATTTAGGAACTTGGTGTCAGAGACATATGCAAAGCGGGGACAGAAAGGAGACTAAACGAGGCTAGGAATAGCAGGGGAACATGGTCCTGCTTCTCAGCCCCGTTGAGTCACCCAGACCCAGAATAACCAAAGAGGTTTGCGGCAAGACTGAGGGCTTCCAGATAAAACATCGCTCTGTGGACCACTGCAGACCCATAACAAGCACCACAACCTTTGCTTTTAGGCACAGTACGTAAACAGCAAAGGTAACAGGAAACCAGAAGTAAAAATAGATCCCTAGTAGGTCTGCTGTGATGGGTCAAGCTATGCTCAGCTACTGCCAAGGATGCTGGCCCCACAGAAACACAGGAGGCTATAGAAGCAGAAGGCACTTTTTGCAGGGTGTGCCCTGGGGATCCAGACAGGGCAGCAAGAAGGCCATGAAACAGAGAGGAGATCTCATCACAGACACACCAGCTGCTTTGCTTTTTCCATACCTCTCTGTAGTGGGGTCAGAACAATTGAGGGGGTATCGCAAGTCAATGATGGTTCCATCTTTGTCCTGCAGCGAGCCCTGTTGCTGTGTGTAGTACTCCACCAGTTCTGACAAGGTGGCAAACTTCTCCCCTCCATACAGGTCATAAAAATCCCCGGTATTCTGGATGCGGATGTGGGTTACCTGATCACCAACCCTGCGGGACAATGCACAGAGCAGTCCAGTGAGGCGGTTGGAAAAGAGGCAACAAATATTCTGCATTACCTCCTGCCATGGAACCAGAGCAAACCATCCCAGTGAAAGGAGGGGACTGGAAAGAGAAGCTCCTGGGGCAACTTGATGGAGGGTCTAGAAGATGCTGGGAAGCTTAGGTCCTTTTCAGCTTGGGAAGAACTCAAAGGAGTAAGGACAGGATTAAGATGCCACCAAAGGACATGTGAGGATCTAAGCATTCTGCATACGTAATCCTGGAAAGAGGGAAATTGGGGTCCAAGTTACTCACCGGACTGAAAGAGAAAAATCCCCCTGATTCTTCCGACTGGGTCTGGCCAGAAAGCTCCCATGGACACCTCGCCCCTTCAGTAAGGCTTCAGCTTCCAGCCCACTCAGGTCACGATGAAACCACCTAGCAGAGTAAACAAAAGCGAGACTAAGTGAATAAAAAGGGCCAGGCATTTTTGTGGAGAATTGTACAGTGAAGAATGACCCCAGTCAGCATCCCTAGGGATACCCATACAGGTGACAGCCAGCAGCAGCATCTCTTCCTGCTTCATACATGCCCCTACGAAAGGTTTCCATTGAGATACAACTTCCAAGACAATCCCCTCGTGCTTTTCTCATCCCCCTCCTTACACATACACCCCCACTTCTCAGCCTCTCTTACCTCACCATTGTGGAGGGCAAAAGAAGAGGGGGCCAAGCGGCTCCCACCAAAGCAACTTGAAAAACACAGAGGAAAAATCAGTTCGTGCTGGTGAGAAAAGGGAAGTTGGAGGTCTTTGCTGGAGCACCCGACGCCAAGCTGTTTCTGAGCCTCTCGGGAGCTGGCCATGTATATCTCCTGGTGTCTACCGTCAGTCCTTTCAGACCCTCTCCATCCACCTGCTTCTGGATATGCGCCTCGATCTGCGGTGCTCTGCCCAGTGCTGCTGGGCACAGGCAGGCACAAGCTGGTGCGCAGCCGGGCACATGCGGCTCCAGGAACAGGAAGCGCTCTGAGCCATCAGCTCCCCAGCCCCGACCCGCTTTGCACACACTTCTGCTTCTCCTTTTGCGTCTTTCCTCCCCATCCCCCCTGTTATTCTCGGGTGTCTGTCTTTTTTCACACCAGGGCTGGCTCTATGAGTGCGCGTCTTGGGTTCCGGCCGTGCTCACAAAATTCAGTTCTGTGTGTCCTCTGTTCCCCTTCTTCCCCAAAATGCCGGTGTGAGACATGAGTGCCTTTGCCGTGGTGCTGAGAGGACCAGGGCTACCGGGGATCACCCGTGCACCTGCAAGGCTGCAGTGGGCAGCACACGGCGGCATTCATCGAGCGGTGAGGCATGCTACTACAGGCTAGGAGTGCCCGGCCACACCGCTTGGCTCTGCTGGGCTGTCCTCAGATACCCAGCTGGAACCTCCACACCCCAGCTCACTGACCAAGCCCCCGGGCTGGTGTATGTCCTACATGCTCTGCGCAGACACGGGGGGAATCTGTGCAAACCCAGAGCTGCAGGCTTGGAGGTCCAGGCAGGCTGGCACTCTAAGCACAGTCTGGAGAAGAGCCCAGAGCTGCGGGATGTGACTGATGAGCAGTGGTAGCTCAAAAGCAATGGGATGGGGTAGGGGGTAGGAGGTGGTGTTGCAGCTGCCCAGAAAAGCGGTCCGAGCTCAGGACAAACAGGTGTGCCAGGCCCACACAGCACCAAGAGAGCTTAGCCTAGCACCTTTGGGATCCCAGTACAGCATACTGTGGACAAAGCTGTTACAAAAAGACACTTACTTGTATCTAAAGAAGGAAAACTAACAATTTCCAGTTACCTAGCCATTTCTGCCCTTTCCCATAGCCCTGGCTTCAAGGTCTGCAGGTCTCATGAAAGAATGGGAGCTAAGCAGTGGCCAAAGCGGGCAACACATCTGGCAAAGGAGCCTGACTTTTCCTTGGGTCCATGACAGCTACCCTGTGTGGGCAGCAGAACAGCGAGAGACATGCTTATTTCAAGTATCAGCAGCTGCAGACTTCCCTGCACACCACAAGACTGGGAAATCATGCAAAAAGCTGAACAGGCTGCTAGCAATGACCAAAACAAAACTTATGGCCAACACAGAAACCAGCGACAAAGGGAAGTATGTGAGGGACGAGGGGGAAGCTAAACTTAATTGCTAGAAAGGCAACACAGGCACCTACAGTAACTTCCTTTGAAACGGTTCTAGTTTCACAGCCATAATGAGCTGGGATGTGGTGAGCTGCAGGGATCCAGCTGCACTAACTTAAAACTGATATTAAAAAAAGACACTCTAAAGGCAGAGAGACCTGTGGCTCCAAGGAAAAACCTCTGCCTAGAAGACTGCACCTGACTCAAAGCCAGCCTAGCACTGGCACAGGAAAAAAATATTGTTTAGTGGTAGGAGAGAAATTTTTTTTTTGGGCAGAAGTATCAAAAGAGAATTCCTGGCACCAAAAAATATTAGATTATGTAGGCTGATATGAAGCCACGGCAGACAAAAAAGAAAACCAACACCTTATGAACTGTCGGAAGTAGAAAGTCTGCCTGAGGAAAAGAACATTCGTGGGACACAGGGCTGAACAGAGAAAGAACAAGGCAGCAAAGAGCCCAGATCAGAGTCAGAAGGGTGAGTTAGCACTGAATCCATGTAGTTCAGCATTACAGTTTTAGGACAAGCCACGAGGTGCAGTGTAACCCACGTGTCAGCATTTGTGTGGATACAAATCCCAAATTACTTAGTTTACAGGACAAAAATCATACTTCTGGTTGCTTTCAGCTCAGGAAAGGACTGGATGCACACAGCTGCCTTAATCAGGGCCATCTAATTAAAAACTACCAAGTAGGAGCTCCTGCTGGTAAGGGAAGGAAACACCACAGTAGAGAAGCAATTGGTTGGCATCTTTGAGGTTGCTCATCCGAACGGCTGCAGCATGGAACAGTAGATTGTAAATGAGCTGCTAAAATATTTTCTTAATATAATTAAGAGGTAAGAGATTTCAGAAAAGAGATTATTCTTATGATGTTGTTTGACTTTCAGTACCACACCGGTGATAGAATATCATCTTGTAAACCCTTCGTGGAGCCAAGCCACAGCTAGCACAGGAACAAATTCAGAGGTAAAGATAAATAAAATAGCTAATTAAAAGACATGCTCATCTGGACAGGATCCAGCATAAGGCCAGTAAGACAGTGAAGAATCTGGAGCGCAGCACAGACAAAGGGAGCTGGGTTTGTTCAGAAAAGGTGGTTAAGGAGGGATTTAACAGCTGTCTGAGACTCCCTGACAGGGGGAGATGGGGGTTTTAGAGATGATGAGCCAGATTCTTCTTTGTGAGACCCGGCAAAAAGGCAAGAGGCAACCGGCATAACGTGCAGGGAGGGCAATTCTGAAGAGCTATATTCTGAAGAGGTTATCAGGAAAAATGACACAGGCACTCCCCCCAAAGGACGATTCAGCAACTGCCACAAGACCCCGGAGAGGCTGGGCAACCTCCACACGTGGAGATTTTCGGGCTTCACCTGAACAAAGCCCCACGCAACCTCATGTAGCTTTGGGCACAGCTCTGCTGTGAGTAGGGGGTGGACTAGGTGATCCAGGGGTCCAAATGGTTATCAAAGGAAGAGCAGAGGAAGAGGATTACATGTAGAGTTTCTTTACCCATGTACTCCCTAGGTCTCTACGTGGCAACTTGTAGAATCAATCCGTAGCAAAATCCGCAACAGTTTTAGCATCCTTTGGCAAGGGGTTGCACTGCTCCAGCTATAGACACACCCCTCCTCGTTTGGCTTGCTTATAGCCTGCTCCCTGCCTCATTTTTGTTAGCATCTGATTGTTGCTGAGAAAGAAAAAGCAATGACTGATTCCTACTCACCCCCTCCAAGCTACTTGTGACAGAGGTCTGCAACACCCACATCCTTCCTCAGCTCTCTGCCAGGCTGTAGACTCCAGCCCTGCTAAGGTCTCCTTCATGCAGAACTGTTCTACACTTCTGATCATCTTTACTGTCCCTCTCTGAGATGTTTCCAGCTCTGGTGTATTATTTTGGAGATAAGACTGAAGGGTGGCCCAGAACTGCACTGCTCAAGAGGCTGGCAACTCATGGACACGAGAGAGACAGTGATGATTTCTGCTCTTGGTTCACCACATTAATAATTGCATGGGCTTCTATACGATCACAGTCTTACTCCAGAGAGGTAACGATTAGTTCACAGTTCATTGGTTCATATGTAAATTTTTAATTATTTTTCTGCATGAACATCATTTCACATATACCCACATGTAACTTCACCTGTTATTCTGTTGCCCACTCATTCACTCTCACAAGGCCTCCTGCAATTATTGACCATCAGCTCCCACCCAATCATCCTGAATAACTTTCTACCATCAGCCAATTTTCTCATCTCACCAAGCTCTCTTTCGAGGTCATTTGGGAATATACTGAACAATGTATATTTCGGGTTAGGCCCCTGTGATCTGACCACTGATGACATGCCTGGGCTACAAAGACTGGACGGTTTATTCATAGAATCATAGAATGGCCTAGGCTGGAAGGGACCTTAGAGATCATCTAGTCCAACCTTCCTGTCATGGGCAGGGACGCCTCTCAACTAGATCAGGCTACTCAAGGCTCCATCCAACTTGGCCTTGAACACCTCCAGGGAGGGGGCAGCCACAACAGCTCTGGGCAATTTGTTCCAGAGTCTTGCCGCCCTTGTACTGAAGAATTTCTTCCTAAGATCCAATCTAAATCTATTCTCCTTCAACTTAAACTCATTTCCCCTTGTCCTGTTGGTGGAAACTCTTGTAAAAAGTCCCTCCCCAGCCTTCCTGTAGGTTCCCTTCAAGTATTGGATTCCGGCACCTATTGGGTCCCCTCAGAGTCTTCTCTTTTCCAGACTGAACAATTCCGGCTCCTTCAGCCTGTAGAGGTGCTCCAGCCCCTGGCTCATCCTTGTGGCCCTCCTCTGAACACGCTCCAACAGATCCACGTGCCTCTTATGGTGGGGGCACCAGAACCGGACTCAGTATTTGAGGTGGGGTCTCACAAGAGCAGAGTAAGGGAGGAGAATCACCTCTCTTGATCTGCTGACCACACCTTCCATTTTCTATTTTCTAGTAGTTCTTTACTCAAGTTGCCATAATTTTAGCCTTATTTAAAGACTTTGATGAGAAAATCTTGTCAAATAATTTTTTTGGAAATACAAAGGAACTGTATCAGCCAGACCTGCCTTATTCACAAGCTTGCCAAGTCCCTCATAAAACTCCAGCCTTACAAGACAGGATTTGCCTTTACAAAAGCAGATGCTGACTTTTTCTTTAATATCACACTCATTGGTGTCTCCATTATACTGCCTACCCTCTTGCCCAGATACCAACTTTATTGTTCTGTGCTTTCCTTGCACTTGGGAGATCCCGTCTGGAGCCCTTTTTGAAAATCAGCATTGCATTTGTTACTTCTAATTCACAGCAGAGATGATTTTAGACAGGAGGTTTTGCCATTCTACAGAGTACTGCATTGCAGTTCAGTTGTTAGGGCAGAGCCAAGGCCATCTGGGCTTGGGGAATGGGTAGATGGACCAGCTCCTGTGATTTGCCCAAGACAGATGCTCTCTGTCACGACACAGGACCCCAGGACAGAGCTGGACAACCACCAGGGTTGCCCATATCCTTACCACTTAGTGACACTAGTGCAAATCCCATTTCCTTACGCCATGCCACTGCCACCTCCAGCGCAGGGCACCTTTTTGGACTGACCGTGAAGATTTTGTGTCCCGCTGTTCCATAAACAGCTAGAAAGAAGTTGTAAAGCGTGAATCAAGAAATAACTACGTTTTAAAAGCTCAGCCACCTGACCTCTCTCAGTACAAAAACCTTCAGAGATGCTGCATCTGCGGGGCTGGCAGAGAGTTACTGCAGCGGACTTGGCATCGCAGACCCTGCTTGCTCTTTGTCAAATTAAGAAGCAGCAGCCACAGCAATAACAACCTAAAGCACCATGAACTCCAGTCCTCTGCCTATCCCATAGCTCCTATTAGAAGGTGGGTTTTTTCCCTTCAGTGCTCGATTGCTACTGCCAGTATTTTTATTTTTCTCACCAACAGCTTGTTTTCCTCCCTTAACTAGCACTCATGGCACTCACCCACAGGATGGCATCAGGATCTTGACTCTCAGATCCGCACTGACCCAGCGACTGACACCAGCTGGTGGAGGAAGCACCACAGCCCTTAACCAGGGCTTCCTAATAAAGAAAAGAAAGCAATATTGGAATTATGGAGGCAGTATCTTGAGATGCAATTGGGAGAGAGCTCAAAGACCTTGACGTGCAAAAGGGTGGACTTGCACCCTCCCAGTAGGGCTGGACACTCCTGGCAGCGAGTGTCAAGGCTCTGGAGTAGCAGCCGGCAGCGCGTGGGGGTTGTGGCTCCTCGGTGACTCACCTGTGTGTGATCGGCACAGGCACAGTCCCGAACTCTGCCTGCTCCCAGGCAGACTTAAGGACAAGGTAGCTCCAGGTCAGGCAAACCACAGGCCTCAAGCGGACAGCTTCATTTTCACCATTTGCAAAGCACTTCCTGGGCTGTAGTTAATGAATAATTAGCGGGGTGGGGGAAAGCCAAGGCCAAGCCAGGAGAGGTAGATGGAGACGGAAGAGACTGACTGTTCTTCCTGCCTCCCATCCACTGAGCTCACGCCCTCACTGGCTACATTCCTGCCTGGTTTGTAACTGAAAGGCACACAAGGCAAAACCGGACACAATTCTATCACGCTTGGCTTGCAGCAACCTGCTCGCCCGGGCCTGGCTTCTTCACCCCCAGCCCCACCACCCTGGCGCCCACCGCCCTCCCCAAAGACCTCAACGCTCCCAAGGGCGACAGGCACACGAGGCAGACGGCTACAAGGAGACACATTTGCTGTCCCTTCATTTGATTCAAGTCGGAAACACAAAATACCATGCTGAAGAGAGGCTGCTCCCTTAGGGTTGCCTCCCTTCAGTTCCCCAAACACACCAGATACAACTTTATGAAGTTTATGTTGTTCTAATCCAGGCTGTACCAAATGAGGCAAGCTCAGCCCTCCCATGCCATGTCACTTCTTGTGGCACCTCTCTGCTGACTCTTTTATTAGGGTTAATATTAATATTGCACATTCAGGCGGAAAACAGCTCAGCCACGGGCACTGGTGATGGAGGCAAGGGAGCTGCGGCAGGCCTGCTGGGGACAGGGGTCTCAGCAGCATTTACAGTGCTTGCAGAAAGGCACTACACGGTGTCTGGGGGACACACGACCTACTATGTTGCAGACAGAACATTTGTAAACGCTTGCTCATAGACAGGGCTTAGCACCTCTGAAATGTTAAAAACAAAGAAGTCACTTTGATATCAAGCCCGAAGTATGAGTTCATGCTAAGGCTTTCATGAACAACTACCTTTTTGCAGAGCTTGGTGTGCACTGTGCCACTCAAAACACTAGCATGGGTTTCATCAGGTTGTGAGGCGGGCACTGCTGTAACTGCCTCTGCACCAGGGAGAAGCACCTGTGCCTGAGCTGCACCACCGAGCTCACGTTCATTCACAAAACAAAGGCATTTTCGAGACTTTTTTTTATTCATGAGCAGACACAGAAGCAGGCACAAAGCATCCCATTTCTTTTGGGTCAGGGTCTCGCTTGTCCAAGCGCCCCATCACTGGGGCTGACGGGACCTGTACCTTGGAAGGAGGGCACCAGCCAGAGCACCACAACCCGCCGGGGCGGGAAGAGGTCCACGGTCTCAGGAGGTTGCCACTCCACCGGTCCCGGTGCCGTGGGGCGGCAGCGTCATGGGTGGCAGGAACATGGCCTTCAGCTTGCCCGACATGGTGGCGATCTCCGGATCCTGCGACTCGTAGGATTTGATGAGCCGGGCGAACTTCAGGACCCCTGCGAGAAAAAGGAGTGGAAGAAGGAGGAGGCATCCACCTGCCCGCTGCCGCGGCTCCCCACCCAGCAGGCAAC